ATGATGTGAGGGGTTAACCGATGAAGCTAATGGAACAGAGTTAGCAATGTTTCAAATTTCTTTTAGAAACAAGCTGTTGAATTGTTTTGGTAACAGAAGATAATGAGAATTTATAAATTGCACGGTTTATAAGGTTTTTTATATTTATTTTGGCTGTAGAATAAATTAATTTTGTCACCATATAAATTTTTAGTTAATTCAAAATTTAGTAATAAATGTGGTACTATACTAGTATATAGCAAAAACAATCTAAGAAGTCACCTTTTGCGTCACTCATCTTCCTCTTTTGTGCATTTTTGCAAACACTCAAAACTCTCTAATTTTAAGATCCATCGATTCAAAGCAAACATTCCCGATTCGATTGTATGTGCATGAAATATCAGTTCATGCAGTTGAATGCAATCTTGAATACCACAAAAACATGGCTAACATAAACAAGTTTTTCAATTGAGCAGGGAGACTGCAGCATGCACATACGCAAGTAAATCTTTTCCTTTAAATGTCAGTTCACAATTCCAATCAGAAACTTAAATAAGATTTGTTGATAATTCCATTCTGGATGAATTTCCTCACATTGCAAATTGGATTTCCGACCAACTCTTCGACTCCTTGATGAATTGGATAAACCCATCCTGCCAAATAACATATTTTGTAAAATTATTTCCAGAGCAAGTGCAAAACAGAAGGATACCATACAGTGCAAAACAGAAGGATAGCATATGATTGTGAATAAACGACATTACGGATCTCAGAATTAAACACTCTGGCTCCATCTCAACTCACTTACCTTACAAGTACAATGTAAGTTGAGCAGAAACCAGAATATATAAATAGATAATTAAGAGGGCCTCAAATTGGATACTGGGAAGTCAATGATCAAACATGCCTTGCAGTCATTCAAAAGGAAAAAAATACCACTAACTGTTGAAAACTATGTGCTTCAATGCAAAAGCATGGCGTTTTCTCCCCTAAGGTCACGTTTGTTATACTAACCCATCCATCTTCTTATCCAAGTACCCCAAACATAAATTAAATCACTACCTTACCCTGCCAAACGTGGCCTGACTATGATATCCCGAATATGATCAGTTCTCTTATTGACTTGTCATGACTGCTTACTTCATATTTCATACAGCACAATGTGATATCCCCTAATCATAAGAGTCTAAAAGAATTTTTCATAAAATTCACTGCCCTTTTTCTTATTATATTAATCACGAATCAGCCAGTTTACTCCAAGCTAGCAGCGAACTGAATTTATTTGACCCAACAGTAGAAAATGAAAGAGAAGATAAAAAGAATGCTGCAAACAGAATTAAAATTTGTGTTGTAAAAACAACATTTTTTATATGTAGAGCACACACTTACTATCTTCTGGAGGTCAATGAAGCCCCAGTGTTCCTGCCAAGTGAAAAATAACAAACTTTCAGCTTGATAGAAATGCACGCCAATAGAATGCAGCCTTTTAAAAACTTCAAGCTATATTACCTGCTCTGTTGTTTCCCAACAAAATTTGAGTTAGACCTTCCCTGAGTTGAACCCTTGCTTCGATCAAAACTTGTTCCATTGAGTTCATTATGATCTTTAGCTTTGCTCAAAATCTTAATATTAGAGAGGCTTTCACCCATTCCGAAACAAACACCATTTTGATGCTGATTCTGCACAGCTGAGAACTGTGAAGAATCATCACCAGCATACTCTTTAAAGACAGTCTTCTCAGGCTTCACATGGTTGGCATCCGCTGAAGGAACCTTCTTCAATCGATGAGACTGTGCCATGGGAGTAACAGCCAAAAAGGAGGAGTATGGAGATGGTGCCACAGCTGCAGCAGCAACTTTGGCCACGGCTGCTGTAGCAGCTACCATCTTTTGTGCTCCCTCTCGAAGTTCAATATAGTCACCCTCAATTACAAATAACTGAAATGACAAAATAAGACATAATATACTGCACATATTTATACATAAAATTTAAGTTACTGAACTTCCAAGCAGATTTACCTCTGGGTGACTAGCAACAAAGTCATCAAGCTTTCCATACTTTTTCTGTAATCATGCCAATGCAAAGGCGCAAGCATTTTCCCAAGTCTGTTCGGAAGCTGGGATTGAAACAGATAAAAAATTTCATGAGCCCGACAAAATGTTGAAATGCATCAAATTGAAATGTGCTAAGATTTTCTGGCGCACCGTTGAACTGATCCGAATTTTTCCACCAGCTGGAATTGTGCGGACTATGCATGCCAACAGCGACCTTTCATCAAGTAAAGCAGTTCCTGAACTCCTCCCTACTGTCCCAGTTGACATCAGGCCTTCAGGCAAAACTTTACCAGTCCCATTGTTGACACTGGCCTCACTGGCATTAATTGAGTGCCTTGAAGTATCAGATGAAGATACACCAGCAGCAGAACCTTTCTGATCAGCTGTTAAAAGCTGGCTATCTGGTCCATGATTATTCAAACTTCTAATATTCTGATCCTGGTGCCAGTTCAAATTTATGAAAACTTCAAATAGCTACTCTACTCTCCAGCACACATCCAAAACCAAATAAACTGATACGAAGAGACCAGACAATTAAAGAGCAAAGACATTGGCAAACCTTGGATTCACTTTTCTTTTCAAGAGAGTCCAATCTTAAGGCATCACGAAACTGTGAAGAAATTTGTTGCAAGTTCTGCTCAGATTTGGATCCGACAAGGTAATTTCCATCAATAGGTTCAAGAACCTGAAGTAAATTTAATGGGTCTAGTTAATTACATCAAATAACGTTAACATTGAGGGGAAGTATCTTCAGAGAACAACCTGTGCTTTTCCAGTGGATGATGACATCATTGAATCAGTCTCTGCAGCTTGGCTGATATGAACATCTAGATAGTCAGGTCGAAGAGATTGTCCATTGGCAGGCACTTCATATTCATACTTTGCATCTGATCTTCCAATGCCTTGATCAGCTTGTGATGGTGGAATTTGATTTGAGGAAGGTATCTGTGAATTCTCAGGTATAGCCTGAAGAAGAAACAAGAAATGTCATATAATGTAATGCCAAAGCAAGTGAAACAAGCAAGGATAACAAATGATATCATCTTATAAGACCTGTTGGTTCTGCCACTGTTGCATAGATGACACTGCTGGCATTGAGTGAAAATGCCCAACATGAGATTGAGGGACATGCGAAGGCACAGACTGGGGAACCCCTTGTTGATGCATGAGAAAAGAGTGCAGAGCGGTCACCTGTCCAGGTGGCAGGTAGGTCGGCATCCCCAGTAGAGAAGATGGAGCCATTGGCACTCCAGGAACATGCTCAGCCTAAAGGAGTAGTTATAATTAGAAGCATTACATTGTTACTCTACCCTTAGAGCTAGTTCAAGAAAATGAACATGACTAAGCAAGCAGGTTTATTTGGCTTGTTGCAATGATAAAACACACACAACCTCAATCCCCTAAATCAAAACTATGATGTCGGCAAAAAAACAAAACAATCCACCTACCAACTGCCCTATAACCATATCATGAATCAGTACACGTCAACTACAATCAGATTTATCTTGCTTCAAAATTATGTTACAAGCATCCACATTATGTTATCTGGGGCTTGATTACATTGACACAATGAAGAAAGCAGCCTACTTAAGTTCTTTGGGGGGATAAAACATAACTTCCAGTAATCTAATTCTATCCAGGAATGTTTTAGCAAAACTAGTCCCAACCTATGTAGTCCTTATTCCTGATAAATGTAGACTCGATTAGATAAGACCACACAAAATTATCCAACAAAAGAATCACAAGTTGAGATAAGATAACAATACAGTTTTAGCTTTCTGGTTGTCACAAATTTTTTAGACAATTAACTATATCCAATTTGATAAAATTTTATCAAATTCCCGTAGTAGAAATGGGCTATATAGAGCGCCAGCAATGAACTTAAGAGCGCTGTGACAGTTTAAACCATGCTATTATTCTAGTACAACAAAAAAACTCATTACTTATTCCTGATAAAAAAAAAAAGAAATTATGTAACATTATAAGACAACAAAAACATTGTAGTTCCCCAAGAAAAACACTATAAGGAATCAAATGCAGGAAGTTAGAATCTTTCAGTAAAACCAACATAAGTGCTCAGCAAAAGGACTGTAGAAAAGAGAAGGGGGTATCCAGATCGTCAGTATGTCAAGAAGAAAAAACACATCAGAGAATGTAATTACTGCATCTTTCAGTAAAATAATGTTGATACACTGCAGGTTCCCGTGGCAATCAAGGAAAGAAGCAAAGTGCACTTCTCACCTGAGTTGATGTATTGCCAGATGAAGCAAAAGATTGGACATTGTCTGCATTTCCATTCAGGACACTCATATTACCGCTTGTAGTACTGCTTCCATTCACATCAATATGATTTCCATTATTCTGACCAAACTGAGAGATGTCCTTAGAGTTTGTTCGGTGTGATTCATCAGCATAAGAACTGCTCCGCTCCCTTGCTTCAGCCAGCTCAAGTTGAAGCTGCTGTACTGTATGCAAATGAAGCCTCTCCATCTCCGCAAACTAGCAACAATAACCAGGAAAGTAAAGATGCATATTGAATTAATAGATCATCCACCATTAAAAAAATAAAGAGAGATAATACTAAAAGAAGATTTAAAAAGAAAAAGGAAAATATCCCAAGGTAATCAACCTGTCTTTGACAGCCCATCCAAAGTTGATTGTATTGGTCTGTACGTTCCCGTAATTCAGCCTGCAATGAGTGATTTGTATTTGATTGCAAAGCATCCACCTCCTGAACACGGGTAATCCAGGCCTGTGCCTCCCTTAGTTGTTCATCCTTATAAAGTATTGTTTCTTGAGCGACCCTATGCTGAAAATTCCAATACTGCTTATCATACAGTACACTTAAAAACTCATGCGTTAAACATTAACCCACTAATAACTTTATTAATAATTTTAAGCACAATCGTTCTGAACTACCAAGAATATTATACAAAAATGTGAATACCTGTTCCTGCAACTCCATAAGCTGCCTTTCCTTCTCTTGGATATGTTCTTGGAAATCATGTATCTGCTTTATATGTTGAGCTCTCTCAGCTTCAGAGTGGTCACGCTCCCTTCTGCAAACAAAAGCAACATATCAAAATATGTTTACTATGTCCAAAATCCAAACCTTTATATCCCAATAGAACCTATGAAAAATAGAAAGAGACAGCAACGCGCTAACAAAAAGCAATTAGAACATAACACAAATAATGAAATAATTCTTTACAAATTAATATCAATTGCTGCAAAACATAAAGTTATTAATAGAAAGAAGACGCCTGAAATAATAATAGTAGAAACAACAACAACAACAACAAAAAGGCAATACAAAGCATT